AGTTTCACACCATTTAAGAAAAGAAGATGAAGACATAAATTAGATATTGTTTTCCATTCGCCCTTATTGATTATTGTCAAAGTAATCTTTAGAATAATTCAAAACGATTAAAGTTTCTTAAATTAATTACATAGAAAATCCAAATGAAAAGTTAAAAATAGAATATTAAAAGTGGTTTCGAAGATTGAACAATTGAATTAATTTGAAATATGAAAAAATGTCTGAACAATCAGTTATTTTGAAATGGAGAGAGTAATCATTACTCCCTATGAACTCTTTTACTTGTCCAATTTTGACTTTTTACTTGTCATTTTTAATAAATCAAAAAATGTTAATATTTTTTTTACCTATTATATCCTTAATTTATTTAGAGAGTTAATGTTTTCGAAACAAGTAGAATCTCGTTAATGAATAAATTGATTTTGAAATTCTATCAATTAATAGAGATAAAATGATATAGGAGTATTTATTATGTCAATTATTATTTTTCTTAATAGATGTGTCAAGTCAAAAATAAATAACTAAATATAGAGTATTTAATAGTTTAAATAGACCTGTGATAACATGTAATGATGCAATGGTTAAAAATATACTTGAAAATTATTTATCTTTTCGTTGATCTAATATTTTAACTAGTTTTTTTTAAAAAATTATTAAAACATACATGGAAGTGTTTTTTTAAAATATAAATGAAGTGATAGTTTAGATAAGTAAAGAGAATAATTGATAGTTACAATATGAAATTCGTATAAAAATCTAATTTTAAATTTGTTTTTGATCATTAGTTCTTCTATTTTTTTAGACACATGATGCCGTGAATTATCAGTATAGTGATGGGAGGTGTTCCTTACCTCTCTAGAATAGATACTCTTTTAATATAATTGCCAACAAAAAATATTTGTAAAATTAATTTAAGTTGGACAAGTTATCTCATGATCTCTTACTCAACTATCTAATTTCAACTCATATTATTCCAAACAATCTTTTAAATAATTATATAGGCACTTTACTTAAAATCTATCATTTTAATTCAACTTGCTTATACAACATTGTTGGATATTAATTAATGTCAAAATTGCTCTTCAACTTGTCAATTTGCTTAAATATTAACATTTTATAATTCTGCTTCTTTCATCTGATTTCTTAGTGTCTGATATTTATTTTAGACTCTATTAATTCATATTTTAAAAGTAAAATACTTTTTATAAAATCGTAAAAGAGTTCTCTCATATTTTCAAATCGTAAAAGAGTGACTCAACTAGGTTGAGGTCAAATCCATAAAAAATATGGGACAAGAAAATAAATAAATGAATAAACAACTCTTCCATTAAGAAATGGGCAAAAAATGATTTTGTTATTATTTGTGCCTCTTCATCATTCTTGACCTCTATCCACCAAACAAGTCGTTATCGTACTTTCAGAATTGTTAAGAATATCTTTTTTATGTAGCCTTATCACTTTATTGTTTAATTCACATTATAAAATGTTAGCTTGAAATTAGGTGCAAACAAACTGGCATGTTACATCAACTTCACTATCTATTCATTGTGAAATAGCTTATTTAACAAAAAAAAAAAAAGAATCAATAAATAAAGAACATTAGCTAGGCAACGTGACTTTATGATATTGATTAATCATTATATATAAAAAATGATTAATATATTCAAACATTTTAACATCTTTATGAAAGTTGAGAGGATATGTTATTTTGTCAACTTATAATTGTCGTTGGTGTAAAAATAGCCAATCTTTTTTCTAATGGACAATCTTCATTTTTGAAAAAAATGAGAAGGGTATTTGACAAACATATAAGAGTAAAAACATATAGATATTATATTTTCTGACAAACTTATAATAGTAAATTAAAATCTAGACAATCTCTGAAAACATTTTTGAAGATAAGTTTCATGAGAAAAATTATATCGAAACAAACCATAACAATAATATATTTAGCATAATTTTACAATGTCCAATTCGTGTGAGGGGAGAGTGGTGTGATGCCTACGCAGATTTGCCCCTACCTTGTGAGTTGTGAAGATAGAGAGGTTATTTTTGATGGACTCTTGGCTCAAGTACCGCATATACTAGAGGTGTCAAAAATGAGCCCAACTATAACTAACCCGCCCAAAATTTTAAGGGTTTGACTCAAGATAATTTGATTGGGTTCAATTTCAACAAGTCTTAACCCATTTCAAAAGAATTATCAATTGAGCCAAATTTAATCTCCAATTTCAACCTTTTTATGACTATTTATTTGCATTGATTTAATGTATGTTCCTATATATGAATTACTATGTTATTTTATATCTTTTAGGATTTTATCCATCCATTTGCAACTTCTTCTTTTTTTTAAAATAATCTTGAATTGAAATTCAAATTGTGGTTATAAAATTTAAATAACAATATATTAAAATTATCGAGATTAAACGGGTCAAATTGTGCGGATCAAGACCCAATCCACTTTTAAGCCCATTTGAGCCCAAACAAACTTGGGCAGTTTAGAACCCAACTCAATTTCAATTTCAACCCATTTTAATATCTTCAATTTTTAATTCAGCCTGCATATTCAACACCCCTAGCATATACAAAACAATATTAAAAAAAGGGCAAATTACATAAATCACATACTTTTAAGGCAAAATTACAATTTATCCCTTAAAAGTTTATATTTACAGAAATCCCTCAAATGGATACAATAATATAAGCACTGATACATTAATCTGATGCGCGAGATACATTAATCTGATGCGCGAGATACATTAATCGTTAAGTAAGATACATTACATTTTATACAAGATACACTAATCTGATGCGCAAGATACACTAATCTGATGCGCAAGATACACTAATCTGATGTGCGAGATACATTAATCTGATGCGCGAGATACACTAATCTGATACGCGAAAATGAGGGATTTTGGAGATCTGTAAAACTTATAGGGGATAATGGTGATAAGTAAACTAAAAGGTGGGATTTCTGTAATTTTTCCTAAAAAAAATACATGAAGAAGTTATATGAAAAATAATGGAGAACAAATTGCATATGGGCTGGGCTTGAAATGTTATTAACCTAAGTGATCGCAATAATAGTCCTAAAGTTAGAAAATAGCACTTCCTTGAATAGTAAAGAGAACTTGGAAGGGAATGATCTTGGACTTGCATATGGGCTTTCAGAAGAAAAAGAAAAAAAAAGAGCCCATAAGAATATCAAGTTGAGTAATTCTACTACTATGGGAAAATTAGCAATTAAGTCATAATATCTAACATAATTAGTTAAAATAACAACACTTTAAAATATTTATTTAAAATGTCAGAATGACAATATTTTGGAAAATAATATGTATTCAGATTTTAGTATTTAAAATTAATTTTATTTATGAAAATAGTCCTATATTGGACCAAATTCTAAACCAATAACTGTTTACAAAGAAAAAAAAATTAAACCAATACCCATTATCCTTCCTTCTTCACCTTTCACGTTTCTACCCCCACCTTTCACGTTTCTACCTCTTTTTTCACGTTTCCAGTTTCTCTTTCTTCAAGGTGCTCACAAATTGTTTATCAAAATATATATTTTAATTCAAGAAATTTTCTCGATTGTTAAACGTAATCTCTTTATTAAGTCAAGCAGATTTCTCGATTGGCAAGGTAATTTCCATTATTTATTTTGATTTGTTGTTTAAAATCACCAATTATGGTGTATATTTCGAATTCTATATATTACGGATTTCCAATAGAATTTTTCGAGTTTTATGAGATTTTGTTTAGATATTCATCAAATATTTATGATTTTCAATTTTTTTGCGATTTTCTTTTAATTTTTCAGATTTTGTAGAATCTAGAAATTCATATATATGTTTATTTTGTTTGATATTTAATACATTTTAATATTTGATAATGTAGATTTTTATGCAAGTTTGTTTACATATTCATGTAAAATTTATGTATTTTAGATTTTTTAGTCGATTAAACAATTTTTTTTTAATTTTTTTATGATTTCGTTTTAATATTTTAGATTTATTAGAATCTACAAATTCATTCATATGTTTATTTTGTTTGATTTTTAATACATTTATATTTGCTTTTAGGGTTTTAAATTTGGGGAAAGAATCTGTCTGTCTACAATGTCTGAATCAACAATTTATTTGTGTATTCATTCTATCTATATATCAACAAGTTTTACATTTTTTGTTTTTACATTGTATTTCAATCTCAATTAGTATACCAACATGTTTGTATTTTCTTCTTAATTTGTATTCATCCTAATTGTATGCTAGCAATTTTGTATTTTATTGGGTATTCATTCTGTATTTCAATCTCAATTTATATATGAACATGTTTGTATTTCTCTTTTGTTTTGTATTCAACCTAATTGTATACCAACAAGTTTTGTATTTTATGTGCCTACTTTACGTTTCAAAGTCACCTTGTATTTCAAATGAAAAGAGTATTTAATTTCTTTTGTATTCACAACTTTATATTTATAACTTTGTATTTTCATCTCACTTTTGTATTCATATATTGTTGTATTCAACATATAGTACATGATCGATTAGTTACATTAACTTAATGGGATACAAATGATTGTATGCATTCAAACAGAAAAAACAACTACTAAACTAAAAAAAAAAAACAATTTCATTCGTTATACATCATAATTTGAATACAAAACATCCAAAAAAAGCTATAAATCCCAATGCATACAAAGTTTTCATTGATTCAATCAGGAAAAAAAAAACACTCTTGTACTCGACATATACGAATATCTCATCCAAACAAATTAAAAAATTGAAAAAAATACATGATTGTTTTTCGATTATTCACTGAATGCGATAAATTTATAGTTGTCAATTTTGAAAAATTCTATTTCAAAAATATGTCGTATTCAACTTGAAGAAGCTTTGAAACTTATCAGATGAATGATTCGGAAGACGAACTAAATTATTTTAATTTTTTTTTGATGTTCTTAAGAAGAAAGCAAAAAAACGCTCGACGAAAAGATGGCTATTTATGCTCTTTTCAAAAGTAATTGATTTGTATTAAAAATCTTTTTACCTTTTTTGAATTTTTTTGTTCCATAATTTTCTCTATTCTGTTATTAATTATTTGTATTCTTTCAAATTAAAATAAAATAAATACATAACTAATTCCTTAACTAACTAAAATAATGACATTTTAAGTAAATAATGAAACTGTTGCTAAGGAGTTTCACTAAAAGCTAAAATATTTTGTTTTAAAAATTTTCCCCTATACTATTCCTTCCCAAAATTAGAGTAGACAAAATCAATTCATTTTAAATAATTAGTTCAACTTGCTCATGCTTAAATGGGTTGAATGCAAAATGTTCATTAATAAATTCACCCTCTCCGGACCTTTCTTATGAAATCACACCGTATTATTATTGTTGACATTACATATGTAAAAATTAATCAAGTCATTCAGAATTATGTTAATTTTAAATCAATTCACTATATAATTTAAGAAAATATAATAATATTCACATTTTTTCTTTAAAATTAAAAATATAAAGGGCGTCAAATTTGAATCTTGTCATGTGAATTGGGTTATAACCCGTTATCTTGACTCATTTTTGTCAAAAAGCGAATTGTGCATGGGTTATAGGTTACAATCTGTTTATTGATCTGACACGTTTTAACGTGCCTAAATTTGACTCAATCTTTGGACATTCTTTCTTCTAATTAAAAAAAAAAATCATTTAACAAATTCATATCACTAGACAAAAGTTTATTTTAATTTTATTTCTAAAAGAGATGTTTTTATGAATAAGTTGAGTGAGTGGCTATAGGATGGTCAAGGATCAAGAATAAAGGCATGCAGTTAGGAAAGGTCGGAATAAATAATTGGTCAAATGTTAGTTAACTTGTGGAGAGAGTGTACCAATTTTGTCGCTCCACCATTCAACTAGATCAATGGAAAGAGAAAACAAACACTTGAATATACTTTGTTCATAAATCTTCAAGAAAATTAATTCTAAGTTACTAAGAAAAGAATATGGCACAATTGCAACCTGAAAGAGTTGTTGAAGAATGTATTCAAGAAAGTAGCACAACACCACATTTTGAAGCTAAGAATAAGGAGGATAGTGCATGTTTCAAATTTAATGTGCAGGCACCTGAATTTGTACCAAGATCTCATAATACAACAACTCCAATTTCAAGTTATTTTTACCCATATTTTCAGTATCTTTCTGGGGGTAATACTACTTCTGATTGGTTATATGTTGCTGATCAAGACACTCTTTCTTATGTTCCTAATCAAAATTTCTCTGCGTTGCTTCAAAAAGATGTTCTTCCAGAAGATGTCAAGAACAAGATCATTAAACAGGTCTCTTTTCATCTCTCATGACTTTTTAACTTAAAACCTCTGTTTCATGATCTGATCAGGTTGATATATTTATAGGTTGAATATCAACTTAGTGACATGAGCTTGCTGGCAAATGAGAACTTATTGAGACAGATGAATAAGGACCTTGAAGGCTTTGGTCAGTATTAAAAAAAGGTTATTTCTTAATTCTGTATTTGAATGTCTTTTGATTGTTTGTATGTATGTATGTACTACTTCAGTCCCAATTTCCTCTGTTTCGGCTACGAAGAAAATCAAGTCCCTCATAACTAACCAGCAGACACTTGCTCATGCCCTCCTGTCCTCTACAAAACTGGTACATTTATAAACTTTTTTTAATTTGAATTTATGAACATCGATAAACCGACTCAGTTTTTCTGTACTTAAGATTGTAAGCAATGATGGCAAGAAGGTTAAAAGAAGAATTCCATTTACTGATAAGGATAAAGAGGATTTGCAGGTATACATCTTTGCACTGTAATTTTGATTAGTTTCATATATTTTTATGGTGCTAGCTAATATTATGCTTTGGGGCTTCCTACTTTTAGTTACGCACAGTTGTTGCTGAGAATTTACCAGATGATCACTCCCATCACAACATTGAGAAAATATTCAAGGTAGCTGGAAGGTGATATTTTTGCCCCTTTTGTCCATATTTTTCATCTATGTTTATTCTATAGCAAATTGAACTAACTTGTTATATTTCCAATTCAAGTGTCAAAACCATCCGTGTATGTCATCCCCAGGATCCAAACTTGTCGCGTGCTAGAGGAGACATTGGCATTAGCAACAAGGTATTAAAAGACTAACTCGAAACTAAATTTCAGTCATTACTCTGATCCATTAAGAAGAAGTTCTCATTCTTTTTTGGTTCTTGTTAATATTGAAGCTCCATGCACTGATTGAGTTTGAGAATCCTGAAGCAGCTGAGAGAGCAGTATGTGGATACATTTTTAAGATTAATTTAAGTTCTTGAGTTTAGTCGCTTTAAATCGACTTCATTTTGAATTTGATCAGGTTGAGAAGTTAAATGATGAAAGGAATTGGAGAAAAGGCCTAAGAGTGAGGTTACTCCTCAGACGTTCAGTAAGTCTTATTTACTGTCTCATCCTATCAGTTTTGCTTCACAGTTCTCCAATTTTCTCGAATAGTTGTTATGAATTGTTTCGTTGAAATTGCAGCCAAAGTCTATACTAAAGATCAGAAAGTGTGAATTTGAAGGATGTTTTGATGATGAAGATGGACTGCCTTCTGAAGACTCTGATAGCAATAATGTAAGTAATGTCATTGTTTATTATTTAGGATTTAACTTATATACAGTGAGTGTCAGTATATTAATAATCGTGGTATTAAAAATGTTAGGTTGAAGACGGTGTAGGATCAGCCAAGAAAGCATGGAACAAAGGACGTGGGAAATTAAGAATGCGTCCTCAAATACATGGTGGTCGAGGCCTACTTGCTGCACTTCCACAAAGCAGCAGCAGCAGCTCAGGTTTAGGTGAAGGACCAGTGAGACAAGTTACAAAAGGGCCAAGAATGCCCGATGGAACGAGAGGTTTCACCATGGGAAGAGGGAAGCCTCTCACAGCTACTCTTATATCCGGAGTACATGTAATTGCCTAATTGATTGGAAATTTGATCAATTTTATTTCCCCTTTGGTTAGTTACCAAAAGAAAAAAGAAAGATTTTGGATTTCAGAGTTTTTGAGAGTCAAGGAAATAATGTTATGTTCCACTTTTATGCAGTGATTTTTGAGCATTCATTCATTTTACAAAAGTGTATAGTAAGTAGTATATAGGTTTTATAAGTCTTTGCTTTGAGACTATTTATAACTTGTTTTTTGTTCTGGAATCTGAGATTTGATTCTACTTATTTTTGCATTATTGACAGATTATCCACCATTTTGATTCACTTCAGTTCAATATGTAATTGTTGGCATAAATTATGATTATTGATTCATGTTCCCGGCCTGTTTAAGGGAATAAGGAACTTAGAAAGAGATCGAGCAAAATGAGACCATTTTGATTTTGCCTTTTATCAACGTGCATTAATTTAGAACTTTTCTATAACATTAATGTTGTTTGTCCCGATATTTTTTAGTCGATATATAATAAACATGAAACATTGACTTCACAAGAAAACATAATTATTATAGTGAGTAATTATTGTATATAGACAAGTGTGGTTGTGTATTATCTTAAACTCTACGAATTGAATATAAAATTACTATCGTCACTTGACAGTATCCTGTATTCAAAGTAGTAAATAAAAAATGTAGAAGAGAGAGAAAAAAAAGGACAAATTACTTAACTACACTCATTTACTTACCTTAATATCCATTTATCCCTACTTATTTCAAAAATTTCAAAAATCCCTTATTTACCTATGTATCCCGTGCACAACGCTATGTATCCCGCTATGTGGAATGTATCAAACACGATGTATCCCCCATGTATCCCGTGCACAATGCTATGTATCCCGCTATGTGGAATGTATCAAACCTAATGTATCCCGTGCACAACGCTTTGTATCCCGCTATGTGGAATGTATCAAACCTAATGTATCCCGTGCACAACGCTTTGTATCCCGCTATGTGGAATGTATCAAACCTAATGTATCCCGTGCACAACGCTATGTATCCCGCAAACATCATTTTTAAGGGATTTTTGGTAAATAGAAAACTGGAAGAGATAGGATGTTATTTAGTACTTATAATATGTGGTTCCTATAATTTATAAAAAAAAATGCCAAGCCCATAAGTTGTTTATATGTCCTTGAAAGAATTATTATCGGTTCATTATTGCTAAGGATTTGAGTTGTTTCCTTCCTTCAAGGATCAGAGGCGTTAGAGGGGTGCCGTGGGTTCACGTGAACCCATGCTCCCCTCTCTAGATCATATATAGTAGTGTTATATTTTTAAAAAAATATTTAAATATAGATGTGTGAACCCATGTTCAAAGTATCATATAAAAATGCGATGATGATTGGGTGCACTTCTCTAAGTGAGAGATATAAATTTAAATCTTATATGTATCTTGTTTCTTTGAGTAACACTTTTCCAAGTGGTTATCAGTTACACTTTTATCGTTTCAATTAATTTTTCTTTTGTTTTTTTCCTTTATTCTTTCAAAATTTTCAAGTGTGTTACATTGAGAATTACTAAAAAAATTAGCATTGTAAATTTTTTATATAATTAAATCAAATGTGTATATTAAAATTTAAAACTAGTAGTATTATATATTTTGGATCTATAATTTTTAAACTTTAATGATTCATATTACAAACTAAAAGTCAAATCGATCAAATTTATATTAGAGATACATTTTTTTGTAATCGTGCACCCATCTAGTCGAAATCCTGGATACGCCTCTGTCAAGGATACGATAAAAAAAATATCTCTGTAACAGTGACCATATAAATTACAAACATGGAGGAGATATGTAGTTTATTAATGTGATGTTTTAGGATATTTTATAAAAAAATTTATGAATTATAATTTGCTCATTTAGTAAGTTTGTATAAAAGTAAGTAAATTTTTAATAGTTTTTACAAGTTAAAAGATTTTTATGTTTATGAAACATTATTTAACTTAAAAAATCTAGATAATATATCCAAACAAAATTTTTAACTCCAAACTAAGCTGATTAAAATCACTAATAAAAAATCATTTTCAAACGGGTTAGGGGCCTTGTGAAAGTAAACGTAAATACAGGAGCGACATATAACCACCGGAGAAGAAAAGACTCCGGCAGCTTTCGAAAACCAATAAATTGGACATATTGAATTTTAGCAATTAATAGTTCAACGATGGCCCATTAGCTCAGTTGGTTAGAGCGTCGTGCTAATAACGCGAAGGTCGCAGGTTCGAGACCTGCATGGGCCATTTTTATTTTTTGTTTGCTCATTCAATCTTTATGAAACTCTTCCCCTTTTGGTCTGTTCGTTTTTGGGGATTTTATACTGTGTTAGGGTTGATGTCTCAGATTACACAAAACCCTTCTTCTGGATTTCAATTTTCTTCAATAAAAAAAAAAAGACTTTATATTGTGTTAGGGTTGGATTTCTCGTAGTCACTCAACTAATAGTTATATCTTAAAAAATACCTTTCCTCTATATTCCAATTCTCTTCAACAACAACAAAAAAAATATTTGAGTGAGCATATGAGAAATCAACTATATATATTTGTCAACGTTTCTTCTGAGATTCATTGTTCTAATAATCCCTTTAACCGGCACTCCAATAGAATATGACATCTTGGCCTTTTGTGGGATGAAGAATTGCACTCAGAATTAAGCTATAAAAAGTGGTGCACGCACGCACTGCTTTGTCTATACATTTTTCTATGATATGTTTATGCATATATAAAACCAACAGATATATACTTGTTAGTATATCTTGTCTTCTCCACTATTTATTAAAGATAATAGAATACAGTGGCAATGACAGTATCCTGCATTATTTGCAACTATTTCTACTGAATGGAATTTTCAGCACATGCTCAAATCTCTTATTTTAGTTTCTGTCTCATTTGAAAAGTGGACATTCATGTTAATTCTGTCTTATTCTCAACTGTATTATTATTTAAAAAATACTTTTGTAGTGATCACCACTTCAAGTACATCGAATAATGGCTGATTAGGTCATAGCTATCCAAGTTTGACATTCTGTTACTTGCTCTAATTTAATTTGTTAAAATGAAGCCATCTGATTTAGAGCTAGGACTTGCTTTTGTAGCGAAGAAAAAAGACGCGTCTGTGACATAAATCTGAATTAAGTAAGGACTATATGGTAGTATACTAACTAATATTAATGTCCCTTTTAATACATGTAAATATGCGTTCATTGATTTTGATTGCTGTCCATAGCATGTTCTTTTGTGTTATAATTTGAAGTCTGTTTCTTTGTAGAAGAAAGCTAACTAAGATAACAATTGTTTGTTGAATGACCATATGAGAAAATCAGCCCGGAAGGTACAAAAATGATAGAAAACTATGCAGTTTTGATAGGGTAATCAAAAATTACCAAAACATCTATTTGATCCAAGGAATTCACCAACATGATTTCAGGTACAGCTCCTGTGACCTCATTCAAAGTGATTGCTTGCTTTCGCAGCGCTGTCATTTGGTTTCTGAATGTCTTAGAAGATCCAACTTGAATTAATCCGTCTTCAAAAACAATATCTTGAAATATTCAACTTTGTCATCAGTAACTCAAAAGTTTCACTGTTTTATTTCGAGACTTGTCTTGTTATTCCGCGGATATACACTGTTCCATTGAAGTCATAGGTGCTTTGATCTCTCAGTGGTTGGATGCAATGTCGAAACTCTTTTAAATATCTTTGCTGCATTTTGTCTAACCAATGTATAAATGTCAAAGTGGATAACTTCATCAGCACTGAACTGTAGTAAAATATACTGGTTGTCGTATAAAATTGCAATGCTTACATGTCCATTAAGCTCACATGTACATAGTGGCATTCCCACTCTTAAGTCCACTAATGTAACTTAGTTTTTTTCGCGTATATAAATTGCTCTATGTAGCTCAACACAAGTCACAAGAATCAGAATTGCTCAAAGCTTTTAGTACTTGAAAGTTATGGCGAGTAGTAGTTTGTTCCCCTGCCTTTCTGTTTTCTTCTGTATGATCAGTATTATGGCTCCCTTAACTGCTGGTCAGCTTGATTACAGTTACTATGATAGAGCATGCCCCGTCTTGCCTAGGATCATTCGTTGGAATGTTTGGTCAGCTCTCCGTAATGATTCCAGAATAGCTGCATCCCTCCTTCGTTTGCACTTCCACGACTGTTTTGTTAATGTAATTTCTCTAATAATCATTTTATTGAGTACTCAATTGCATACTCTTAGGGTAATACTTTATTGAGTCATCAGTTTATGCTTATGTTTGACAGGGTTGTGATGGATCCGTGCTTCTTGATGACACAAATGATTTCAAGGGTGAGAAGAATGCTGCACCAAATCGCAATTCAGTCCGAGGATTTGAGACAATCGATAACATAAAAGCTGACCTTGAAAGAGCTTGTCCATTAACTGTATCTTGTGTGGATATATTAACTCTTGCAGCTAGAGAAGTTGTTGTCATGGTAAGTAGCAACATATTTGACGTGCAGACGAGTACTTAAGTATTAATGTAAAGCCTGGAAATGAACCAACGACAATATATTTTCCTTTCTTCCTTTACAGTCAGGAGGACCATTTTGGCCAGTTTTACTTGGTCGACGAGATGGACTAACTGCAAGTGAGAAGACAGCAAATGACCAATTACCTTCACCCTTTGAGCCCCTGGATAAAATCGCGGCGAAGTTTACTGATAAGGGCCTTAATCTAAGGGATGTAGTGGTTCTTTCAGGTACATTTAATCTTATTAGTATATAGTATAAAGTTAAATCTGCATTTGTATTGATGATTTAAATTTGTTTTGCCCATTCTCTTATTAGTGGCAGAGCTACATGGTTCGATTTAATCCCCCTTCGTAGGAACATTATAATGCAAAATAGGATAACAACAATCATTTTTGTTTGCATATATAGACTCTCCTTGAAAGTTTCTAGTGTAACAACATTAAGTATGGTTCAAATATTAGTTTAGGCCGTCTAAAATTCTCCTTAATGAAATTTCTGACTCTACGACTTGTCTCGTGTGATATAGGAGCACACACAATTGGTTTTGCTCAATGTTTCGCATTCAAGAGGAGACTTTTCAACTATCAAGACTCAGGAAAGCCAGATCCAATTCTTGATTCTTCAATGTTGTCAAATTTGCAAAGCACTTGTCCTGAAGAGGGATCCAACACCAAAATTACTCCTCTAGACATTCAATCCGTTACGCAATTTGACAATGCATATTACAGAAACCTTATGAGCAACACTGGACTTCTTGAATCTGATCAAGCTCTAATGTCAAATTCTGAGACAGCTGATATGGTAAAATCCTACAGTTTGTACCCTTACCTTTTCTACCAACACTTTGCTGCATCAATGGTGAAATTAGGAAATGTTGGGGTCCTTACTGGAGAAACTGGACAAATTAGAAAAGTATGTGGCTCTGTAAATTACTACAATTAAAGTGTTTCTGTCAAGTATGTTTAGTTTAATTATTAGACAAAGTTTATCAAGTGTGCTTGCTTCAGTATCTATGTTTGTACTAATAATTTAACTATATATCAAATGATATCGTTCAAGTAGATATTTTCGTTTTATTATATTATTTCGGCTTGATTTATTCATTTTGGATCATTAAAAAGTGTCGATTTTATTTTATATTGGAACGAAGGAAATTTATGGACAATGGGATCCCACTTAAATAAGAAAACTTTGGTCTATTAGAATATTTTAAAGAAGGAAAAAGTGGTCCTAATGCTTGACTTTCGATGTCTAAAAAAAACATTGTACTCTTTTGTTCTTTATGCTCAATGCCCCTTCAATTTTATGTTCACTGATTCTATGTTCTCTAAATTTCCTTTTAATAATTCTATAGTTAGAATTGTATGTAGTATATTAATTTCTTTTTTCTCTTTTTTTTTTTTTTGATTTCTCACATAATGTCTAAAATCTGCATCAAAGTCTAAATTAAATTCGAATCATGCGGTATAGTACTCATTCAAAAGTGACTCTCTCAACAGAATATTCTTCGTATACATGCCTTAAACCCAAGACCTTTAATTATATAAAGACAAGTAAAGATAAGGAAAAGGAAAGAAAGGGACAAAGAGAACCATAGATTCAAAAAAATGAATAAAATAAAATGGTTTTCTCACTTATTTTGTCGAACAAAGTTACCTGATATGTATTTTTATTAACGAGAAATGGTATGTTATCCATGAAATCAGTGGAAGTAAACACAAGCTAATCAAACAATAACCACACATTCAATATAATTTTATAAGTGAAATTCAGATAGAATAGAGTTTTTTTGCAGCTCTTACACTTAACTCACAAAGATAAAAAGACTACGTCCCAAAATTATTGTATTGTTTTTTAAAAAAAATGGGGAAGCTAGGTAGTTGGATTGGCTGAGTGGGGTGAGGCTGACTAAACCTATGTCTTATAGTAGTGCTATATATTTATTTACATCAATCTATCAACATTTTAATTTATCCTTTGTCATCTCCTGCAAAAAAGCATCTTAAATTTTTTTGTGTGTGTTTCTTCTGTATTATCAGTCATCACTATCCCCAAGGCACAAGACACACAGATATTCCTCTCTCACCACTGATTCTTTTTTGATACCTTTTCATGAGTATGTTACTACTCAATTGCACTAGTCATTAAAGGAGCAAAAGATTATTTATAATTTTTTAATTTTAATTTTTCACATAATATATTTGAGATTATAATATTGAATTTTTTTAAATATATTTTCAAGTTAGAATCATAAAGTTTTAAAATATATATATATATATATATATTAATTTATTAAATACTCTATATATGTTAAATATACAAAACCTATACTCGCGAATATTTGCTTCAGTCTTGTCTTGTCTGCTCCTCGCGAAAACGATTAAAATTTCCATATGTCTAATATAATTTTACCAAATGAAAAAATTACACTTCATAGGTAAGATATCAGTAAGTCGATGAATTTATAAATTAGACTCATATTTTTATTTTTTATATAAGTAAATACTTACGATTATATGCTATTATAAATTTTTAAGTATACAATTTAAAAAAAGATCATTAGTTAACAATAAAATAACTAATTATTCTTTAATATAATATTTTCTAATGGTACGGACAATTTCACATTGATATCAATATGGATCTTTCTTAGCAAATTTAAAATGAAATTATTTTTTTACAAAATATAAATTTATATGTCAAATTTTAAAAACTTAGAGTTCAAAGTCATAATTTGAAATTAAGATTATAATTTTATGCAAATTTCATAAACAAACATTAATTTTAAATTAAAACAAAATACTATGGCCAAACGCCTACCTACTACCTAGTATTGCTTTTGGTATTAATAATTTTGCATGATTAATATCCTAACTAGAAGTAATAAATTGTGGGAAAGGCATGAACTTTTGACTTGGATAAATGTAGAAGTCACTAAACATTATTGGAACCTTTTAAAATGCAAAATGGATGAACTTTGCCAAGGAAATTAAGGATGATTGCTAACCTTTTTGACTTTGTTAACTAAAGCAAACTTATCTGTAACACTTAAAAATAAAAACATTATATATAAACAATTGGCTAATCATGTCATATTTCAATTAGAATATGATATGGGGATTCTAGTTACACCGATCGAATTGATGATTTGAAATTTTTGGATGCATTAATTTAAATTTTAAATAAAAATAACAAAATATGACTTTAGTTAGATTCAAACTTTGGTCTCATAGGTGATATATCTTTGATTTGTACCAACGGCATGAGATACTCCTATGCTCCTCATGAATACACCGTTAATTATTACAGTATATTCTAGTTTCTGTTAGTTTTTTAAATATATATACATATTTTTTTTCAAAATTAACGAGTACACGTGCATCCAGCTTTGTATGTGGATCCGCCTCTACTTGTAACAGATAAAGTGCTCCTTTGTTAAATATTACTTCTATCTATTTTTAGAACTAGAACTCGAGATACCAAATAAATCATTGTAATCTCCAAAATAAAGTCTTTTTCTAATCTATCTTATAGTATTATCGAAAGAATATGAGATGCCGCTAATTTTCCTGCGCAATTTCAGCTCTTAATACATGTACGAAGTCCAAAATAAATTACAGAATAGAGAGAGTACTTGTTGTACAGCAGTTAAATATAAATGAGCCCAGAGACTCTAGATTTGAAACTTTTTTCAGTACAATTTATGAATTATTCCGAGCGTGACTAGGCCATTTTGTGCAGTACAAAGATGCCTTTACAGGATTTCTTGCAGATTTGTTGTTACCACTCTCTTTTTGTACCTACAAACTTCATTCAATTCTGACTCTTGTAACTCTGAACTAATGGTCCAATATCCATTACACTTCCCTTTCATCTTAATTATGAGAAATTTCGTTAACGATTTTATTATGAACGGTATCCCACTGACCATCCTGAACTATGTGTGGTTACGTCCAGGCTTCGAGTTGCTATTTTTTCGCAAAATAGGGGATACTAATTTTGCTACTTATGAATTTTTTTCATGTTGTTTGTTTTGCTTCACTCATTATCAGGACTTAGAAAATGTGATTAAAGCAAATAAAAGTTCAAAAGTCAGATGAAACAGAACCAGATCAGTCCTAAATTCAAACTACTAATAAGTTAAAAGAGTTGTGGTCCATTTACATTTTACTGAAATAATTCCTGAGATTTTTTAAATATATAAACAGAACCAGAACAGAACAAATTTGAGGAAGTTTTTTGCTTTAATAGCAGAGTTTGTACAGATTCTCTTCTTTTTAATACTGGCATTTCAAGATTTCATATCATATCAAGAACCAGTTTCCCACAGCTTCTATCTCTACCAAAAGAAAGAAAGAAAAAGTTGTTTAAAGAAAAAAGTAACTCACCCCACACCACTCCTGTTTTGCTAATTTTTGTATAAAGTTAGACTAAAAGGCGTTTTTCTCGGGCTTTGTTCTGTTTCACTCTCACACAAACATAAACCTAAATTGTTAACACTCCCCATTCAGCCATTTTTTCCCCTTTTTTTCTTTTTCTCTTTTCATTTCAATAACAAAATATCATCTTCTTCTTTGTGCATTTTCCCCTTCCAATTATTGATTAGTATTATCTAATGTGATTATCTTTTCAAACAACAAGAATATCTTCGATTTGAAATTTTTAGTTTTGGGTATTCTTCAAAATGTCATCTACACCAGCTGAATATCCTTTACAGCAACAGCTACCACCGCCCATGTTTATGAGCCAACAAGCTTATTCGGATCGTCCGGGTCACGGGTCGGTTGGACCCGTAATCGCTGTTCTTGCTGTTATAGCTGTATTGGGAGCCATCGCTGTAATGATAGGCAGATTGTGTTCGGGTCGGAAGATAATGGGTCGTGGTCAGTACGATTTTGAAGGATGGGTTGAGACCAAGTGCGCGTCTTGTATCGATGGCCGGGTCGACCCGATACCACGACCGGTTACTATGGCGCCACCGCCGGTGGTGGTTGCTGAGAGCAGCAGCAACGGTAGTCCCGGCGGTTCTGCGCCGGTTTCGGTGCCGGAGCCGGTGGAAATGAGAGAGGAAGAAGCATCTAAACAACAAAGTAATTTACATGAGCATCATCCACATGAAAGAACAGAGTCTTGAAATGCTTTTTTTTCTTTTTCTCTTTTTGAAAAAAAAAATTGTGTTTAATGTTTTAATTAATCTGAGTATTTTCTAATAGTGGAATTTATAAATATTGTAGCAATTCTTTCTATATTTTTCATTTTCTATTCTTTGACATTTTGGAAAAACTAATGTTTAATCATATAACTTTGCACTATATTATATTAAAATATGATAATCCAATAATTTGTTAACATTCTCACATGTGAAATGAAAAGTATTTGTGTGGCTTCTTATTGTTATTATTATTATAGAATTAGAAAAAGGTCCAAAAGGAATCAATTAATTTGGTCATTCATTTTTTATAGCTATTTTCGAAACTTTATATTCAAAAGCTAAGTAATTGAAAAGGAGGACCCTCCTTGATGTTGAAGTTTCAAGTGTCTTACAAAGAAAATACGGTGATTGTTATATGCCAATTAAGATTCTTATGATGTATCTTAATTTAAGAGTGAAACGTTTTCTATTAGAGATTTCTCATGTTTCTAAAAACTCAAATTTAAAACATTTATGTGGATCAAGTAATTTGTTCCAAGTAAAATTTAGATACTATTAGTTGCATAATTATTCCCGATCATGGCTTGCTTTTATTAATAACAAAAACAATAACTATATCTCAATCTAAAGCAAGTTCAAAAAGATCAGATAAATCAGCATTGCTTTTAGTTAAGCTGCTTCTTAATAAAGGGATAAAATCATAAGTAGTCATTTTTTAGCCCTCTATGAGTTTTAGTTACAGATTTAAAATTGGAATAATATATAAACATGACTCTTAATTTGGCTTCAATGAACAACTATGCCCTCCAACTTTAAGTGTACACAAGTAGACATTTAAACTTGTATAAAATTGAACAAGTAAACACGTGTGTCCTACGTGGCATAATACATGTAGAACGCCACGTAGGATATAAGATTTTCATGTAGGGTGCCATGTAGGATGAATGTGTTAATTTGTTCAATTTTATACAAGTTTAAATGCCTACTTGTACACATTCAAAGTTAAAGATCATAGTTGTCGGTTGATGTCAAGTTAAGAGTCATGTTTATGTATTATGGGTGTGTTTGGTATGAAGGAAAATATTTTCCGAAAAATGTTTTCCAATTTTCTCATGTTTGGTTGGGTTAAATGTTTTCCAAATCAACTCATTTTCCTCAAATTTAAGGAAAATGACTTCCCTTCAAAACTTAAGGAAAACATTTTCCAAAACTCTCTTCCAACTTCAAATTACAATTACTTTTTTGTTGAAAAAAACAATTTATTTTGTCTCTATCCTCAAACCATCCCCCCTTCAAAAAAAAATAAAAAATTAAGGGAAAATTGTATATAATAGCAAACTATTAATTCAAATTAAATGCTATAGGTATAATTTGATTTAATTGTACCTCATAGCAAATTGTTGCTATTTCACCTCTCTCCTGGTGAATCTCGCTCGCCACTCTCGTTCTCTCTCTCGCCTCTCTCATTTTTTATACAAACGCAAGTGTATAAAGTGTGTTTGTGTTTGTATAAAGCGAGAGAAAATTGTATATATACATATATTTTCGTTCCCATCTCCTAGATCTTGCTCGCCACTCTCCCAGATCTCGCTCTCTCACTTTATACAAAAAACACAAATTGTATAAAATGTGTTTGTGTTTGTATAAAGCGAGAAAAAAATTGTATATATACATATATTTTCGTTCCCCTCTCCCAGATCTCGCTCGCCACTCTCCCAGATCTCGCTCTCTCACTCGCCTCTCTTACTTTATACAAAAACGCAAATGTATAAAATGCGTGAAAATTGTATATATACATATATTTTCGTTCCCCTCTCTCCCTTCTCCCAGATCCGCTCACCACTCTCCCAGATCTTGCTCGCTCACTCGCCTCTCTCACTTTATACAATTGATCTTTTTGTATATGTATACCAAAACAGATTATACAACTGCTTTCTTTTGTATATGTATAGCGAAATATACATATTTATGTTTGCTATGGAGCGCAATTATGCAAACTGTGCTATAACATACAAATATGAATTTTGTGTTTGCTATATGTGAAAGTTGCTCTAATTTTAAAGCTTGTTTTTAAATTCAATTTTTTTACCCTACCCCCACCCCCTCCCAAAAAAATATTAAAAATTATTTTTAAAAGATATTTCTAATTTTTATTTTTTTACCCCCACGCACTACCCCCCTCCCCATCAGCCCCCTTTCAACCCCTCAACCCCTTTCAAAAAGAAAAAAAAAATTGTTTTTAAAAAATATTTTCAACTTCAAATTTTTATTTTTTCATCCCAATCCTCAATCACCCCCCCTCCCCCGCAAAAAAAAAAGAGTTTGTTTTTAAAAAATATTTTTAACTTCAAAATTTTATTTTTTCACCCCTACACTCGACCCCCCCCCCCCTTAACCCACCCACCCCCTACTCGCCACCCCTACCCAAAAAAAAATTAAGTTTATTTTTAAAAAATATTTTCAATTTCAAAATTTTATTTTTTCACCCTACCCTCGATCCCCCCACCCACCCCCTACCACTCCCCCCAAAAAATTTAAGTTTATTTTTAAAAAATATTTTCAACTTCAAAATTTCATTTTTTTCACCCTACCCTTGACCCCCACCCACCTCCTACCCAGCCCCCCACCCACCCATCCCTACCAGCCCACCCCCCTCCCCCCCCCCCCCCCCCCCCGAAAAAATAATAATTTACGTTTGGTTTTAAAAAGTATTTTCAATTTCAAAATTTCATTTTTTTCACCCCTACCCTCGACCCCCCACCCACCCACTCCCTACCAGCCAAAAAAAAATTAAGTTTGTTTTTAAAAAATATTTTCAATTTCAAAATTTCATTTTTTCACCCCTACCAGCCCCCCCCCCCCCTCCCAACCACCTCACAAAATAATTTTAAGTTTGTTTTTCAAAAATATTTTCAATTTCAAAATTTCATTTTTTTCACCCCTGCCCAGCCCCCCCACCCTACCCCACCCCCCAAAAAAAATTTAAGTTTGTTTTAAAAATAATATTTTCAACTTCAAAATTTTATTTTCACCCCAACCCTCGACCCCCCCCCCCCCACCCCCAAAAAAAATTTAAGTTTGTTTTTAAAAAATATTTTTAATTTCAAAAATTATTTTCTACTCTAGTAAAAATAAAAGATATTTCTCAAAAATATTTTTCAATTATAAATCAAACATTAAAAATCTTTTTCGGAAAATATTTTCTACTCACCAACCAAACATGAAAAAATAAGTCAAAAAATCAACTTATTTTCCAGAAAAACATTTTCCTTCATACCAAACACACCCTATGTCTTTAAATTTCATGAGAGTTAATGGGTGACAACTTTACAAAAACAGACCAAGAGTGACAACGTGAGCTATTTCTACGTAAATAGTGGCTCAAATTGTAATTCCAATGTATCAAAGGTCATTTGCACAAATGTCCTTATTTTTGGGGTCTTTAATTTTTGCCACTTAAAATTATTAGTTTTTAATTTTTATTCTTCAAAAAGAAATTCGCAAGATATAAGTAAATTATGCCTAAGGAATAATTGAAATGCTTAGTAGCTCAAATTATGTCATAAGTTCAGTGACAGAAATCATATTTTAAAACCGAAGTAAGTCGTGCCCTATAAATCAGAAATTATGTATTCCGATATAAGTTAGGTATTAAAGCAAAAGATTCTCAAAAAAAAAAAAAAGAAAAAAAAAACCTAATGCATTTAAAGTGAGAGAATTCTGGTAGGTTTGGTCCCAAACCAACTCTGGGTTTGGTTTGGTCATTTATGGGCTGTGGCCTCTGGGCCTTCTTTGTTGGAATTTTTCATAACTCTACCTCGACATTATCCAAATGCCTCCTTACCCAACATAATAAATGTTTGTGTCCTTCGTAAAAATGTCATAAATATCCATAATAACTTTTATTTATTAGGCGTTTGGACAATGATATGAAATTATCATTTGGACATATAATCTCACGTTGAGAAAGCATACAACATAAAAAGTCAAAATTACATGTCCAAACAAAACTTTAATTTCATCTCATGATTTCATATTGCATGGCCAAACGGGCCCTTAGTTTAGTTCCGCTACATATGTTTGAACTTTAGAAATATGAAATTTCAACAAGTAACTTATAGAAATTTTACTAGTTTAAGAGCTAATCACTTATACATATGCTAGTTTGCAAATATTATGAATCTTATCAAATTTTGGTGCGTTCAGATATGTCTAGATAGATGTACCTTAAGTTAGGAGCTAATTGATTAGACACACGTTAGTTTGTAATATTATAAATCTTAACAAATTTTGGTGCGTTCAGATACGTCTAGATTGATGTACCACGGGATACATGAGGTCAAAAATATATGTAATTTGTTCCGAATACATTGTATCCAAGTAGATTCACATGAGACACATAGAAAAATCTCAATCGCATCTCGCTCGTCACTCTCTTATCTTTCTCGCGTATCTGATATCCCAAATACATGTATCTGAAAAAAATAGACAAATTTCACTCGCCTCTCCCCCTATTTTCTATAGTTATTATTTCAAATTATAGAAAAAATAATAAATATAACAGAAATATTTATGTTATTAGATAGTTTTTCCAACTTCAAATACTGTATGTGAAGTTGTTTTGAGGGGAGTAGTGTTGTAGTTAGTCATAAAATCAGGTACATATGTGTACTTCGGAAGTGTAACTCTGAATGGGTTGAACTGTATATTGGGCTTTATTTCATGACCCGAGCCCAATTACCCCAAAATATCTCCCCATTCAGTCCTTGGATTTATTTTGGTAATATAAATTATTTTTATACAATTAGTACAATTTAACTTGTTCTTAAAAAACGTGCTTTACTCTTTAGATTAAGCATCTCACTAGTCACTTGTTACCTTTTATTATCTTTACATAGTTAGCTTATTAAAATATATTATAAAGTGTTAAGAAAACTTGTTTCATTCTTTAATCTTGCTATTTGATGAAGGAAACAGATAAATATATAAAATACTATATTACAAGAA